AAAAAAAAAAAAAAAAAAAAAAAAAAAAAAAAAGATACATGGTAGTGATTTTTAAATCATAAAGACCTACATTAATGAAAAGTGTTATTCTTCTTATTACATTGGAACTATATTTTATTTTTTAATTCAAAGTTCTAAACTTCTACTTTTTAAAAGATTTATAAAAGCTGAGGCTTCAGGGAAATAAAAAAAATTCTAAAGCTGAATGTATTTGCTGATAAAAACAGTTTACCTTAAACTTAAAACATGGCCAGGCTCACATCTGTAATCCCAGCATTTTGGGAGGCTGAAGCAGGTGGATCACTGGAGGTCAGGAGTTCGAGACCAGCCTGGCCAACATGGTGAAACCCTGTCTCTACTAAAAATACAAAAATTAGCTGGCTATGGTGGCATACGCCTGTAATCCCAGCTACTCAGGAGGCTGAGGTAGGAGAATTGCATGAACCCAGGAGGCAGAGGCTGCAGTGAGTCAAGATCATGCCACTGCACTCCAGCCTGGGTGACAGAGCAATACTCTGTCTCAAAAAAACAAAACAAAAACCTTAAATGTGCCATAAGGGTATATAAGTCCCTGCTGGGAAATTTTAGGTAATCCATTTTCTATTCTTAGGTAGTAGAAATTTTAAGTTTTCTATTTTCCCAGAATGAAATCCAGTATTGAATTTGTTAACAAATGGACACCCAAACTAACTCCTAAGAAACAGACCTTAAAGTTTTGTGTTCACAGTGCCTCAAAAGTTCCTGTTTAAAATCTCTGAGATCCCTTCAAAAATTGGAATAAAAATGGCTCTCTAGGCTGGTACCTCTAGTCCACGTAGCTGGGTCTGCTGGCTAATCTGATGGTTCAATTGCTGCAATTCTAGTCGTAGCTGTTCTCTCTCAGCAGATGGAAGGGGTTTTCCATGACTGGCCACTTCTGACATAGATATTCTCTCCCTTTGTTTAGAAAGAAAGTGTGAAGCAAATTGTAATATTTTATTTTGTTAGAATATTACTGACCAGAAAAACAAAGAGAAGTTGTATAATTTTAAAGGTTTCTACATGTTTGTTCAAGTAAAAAGAATGACTCATACCTCTCACTGAAGTGTCCCTGAGATGGTATGTTTTGATGAGGTGAATATGGAGAACCTCCCCAGCCACTGTGGGTTCCATATGGACTATAATCTGTAAGAGAATGATTTATTATGGTATGATGTAATTCATAGATTTGATTCTTCTTTAAGGTACTCATAATCTAAAAGAAATCTTCGAATTAATTATACAGATGTCTGGTATCCACCCCAAATGGCCAGATTTAAAAAATTCCTTAACTTTGTTTTTCTAAGTGTCAGGCAGCATGATGCTAGGTGCTGATATATGTTTGTTTCTTCCCCAATGAACTTTCAGTCTTTGTAGTTTTTCTTCTAGATTACTGTATAATGAAAATGCTATTCCCCCAAATGGCAATGAAGTTATATGGGGTGGGGTGGGGGGAATGGAAGAAACATTAAGAAAGCTTCATATATAGACATTTAATTTCAGTTTATATACCTAAAATTCTCTGGGTTATAATTACCTTTCTTACTGGGATGATTCCATGGAAAGTTTGACAATTACTGCCTTGCAAGATTATTAAAAACACTGATAGTAAATGGGGAGCAGGAGTAATGCTGAAAGCCAAGATGATGAACCTTTTAGTCAGCTTACCTCTGAGATTCTTACCCGAAATGTTAATAGGTTTTGCAGGAGCTCCCTGAGGTGCCATAGCCTGCATTGGACCAGCACCCTGATATATAGTTTTGGAAGTTCGTGAGATGGCACCAAACCGAGACACTGTTGGTCGGTCTCCAAATGGGATGAGGTCATCATCACTGGTTTCTGCTGCTCTTCTCTGAAGATCTAATCGTTGGTCCCTCATTCCTTTACTCTCCACATTCTGATAAAAAAGCAAAATGAGAAATCCACCCCACACTCAGATCTCTCTGTAGCCTAATTTTTTCTAGATCTGTAATACGGTTAAAGAAGAGTACAACACTCTTACTGGTAAGACTAAAATCATTAGTTACCTTTGGTTGATTTTATATAACACTGGTTTTTAAACCTCTGAGGTGAGGGGCAACAGGGTCTCACTCTGTCATCCAGGCTGGAATGTAGGGACACTATCATGGCTCACTGTATCCTCAACCTCCCAGGCTCCGGTAATCCTCCCACCTCAGCCTCCCAGATAGCTGGGACTACAGGCATGCAACACCACACCCAGCTAATTTTTATTATTATTATTATTATTTATAGAGATGAGGTCTCCCTGTGTTGACCAGGCTGGTCTCAAACTCCTGGGCTCAAGCAATCATCCTGCCTCTGCCTCCCAAAGTACTGGGATTACAGGTATAAACCACTGCACCTGGCCTAAGAAACATATTTTTAAAGTTTATGGGAGGCCACTGTTTTGGACTAAGCTCCCGCACTAAGCCCCAACACACCAGATCAAAGCAGAATGTAGTCACATGTGCTAGATGCCAGAAAATCAAACTTAATTTGAAAATGGGCCAGTTTTGGCTGGCCATGGTGGCTCATGCCTGCAATCCCAGTACTTTGGGAGGCCGAGGCGGGCGGATCATGAGATCAGGAGATGGAGACCATCCTGGCCAACATGATGAAACTCCATCTCTACTAAAATACAATAAAAAAAAAAAAATTAGCCGGGCGTAGTGACACACACCTGTAATCCCAGCTACTCGGGAGGCTGAGGCAGAGGTTGTAGTAGGCTGAGATTGCGCCAATGCATTATCAGCCTGACGACAGAGAGAGACTCTGCCTCAAAAAATGAAAATGGGCCAGTTTTCCAAAAAACAGGAGATTCACAGCAATCAATAAGACGACCACTCAATTTGAACTGGCATCATAAGCCCTTCTGCTTTAATCCTATAAGGAAATTAACTTTGAAACAACCAATCTGAGTTTTGTTCCTTTTCTCTGTTTAGCTCATTAGAGTATCTTTCTATTTTCATATATGGAATGCTTCCTGATTAGTCAATCACTAATAAAAGCCAATTCAATCTTTAAAAATATATACATATAATGACCTAGTATAATATGCATATAAATATCCCTATACGTTATGCACATATTTTATATATATATATATACATATACATACAAATATATAATTTGTATGCACATTAACATTTGAGAAATACTGGGTTAGACTTCTTTCACCTATTTGGGAGGTTCTCAATTACCTCTAGATTGGATTGCAACTTTGTTTTATTTTGAGACAGTGTTCTGCTGTCACCAGGTTGGAGTGTAGTGGCCTATGAGACTCAACCTCCTGGGCTCAAGTGATCCTCCTGCCTCAGCTTCTCAAATAGCTGGGACCACAAGTGTATATCACCACACCTGGCTAAAAATTTCTTGAAGAGATGTGGTTGCTATGTTGCCAGGCTGGTCTTAAACTCCTGGGCTCAAACAATCCTCCCACTTCGGCCTCCCAAAGTGTTGGGGTTATAGGTGTGAGTCACCATGTCTGGCCCAAACTTTTTTATTCTTTACTGATTTAAGAAAATGAGTTTTATTTTGCTAATACTCGTTTACTGTCTTATAATAACCCTTTCTGAAAGCCAAGTACAAAGCAAAGATTCCTGCCTAACTTCCCCTCATTTCATTCCAGTAAGAGCCTTACTGCAGCCTAAAAATAATGCTTCCCTAATCCTACCACAAAATAAATAAAAGTAAAGGTTTATTTTGCTTTTTCTTCCTCTAAAATTCTCAATTTTGGGGGCGAAGGGAGGCTGGCACCTAATCATATTTATGCTATTAGATATCACTTCACTCATTTACAGTAGTTAACAGCACCCAAATTTTTTTTTATTGTAAATATTGGTCTTTTCTTAACCATTTGGAAAAGTATTTATGAAAATCTATATAACAATCTAGGAAACCTCTTTCAGAGTTAATAAGGACAAATGGGTTACAAATAATAGTGAAGGCACAGCTTTCAACCCAGCAATACCATTTTTTATTTTGTGGGATGGAGTCTCACTCTGTCGCTTAGACTGGACTATAGTGGTGCAATCTTGACTGACTGCAACCTCTGCCTCCCAGGTTCAAGTGACTTTCTTGCCTCAGCCTCCTGAGTAGCTGGGATTACAGGCACCCACTACCACGCCCAGCTAATTTTTGTGTATTTAATAGAGCTGAGGTTTCACCATGTTGGACAGGCTGGTCTCAAATTCCTGACCTCAAGTGATTCGCCTGTCTTGGCCTCTGAAAGTGTTGGGATTATAGGTGTAAGCCACCACACCTGGCCAGTAATACCATTTCTAAGGGTAACTTTCACACATGTGAAGCCATACTACACTCCAGCCTGGGTGACAGAGTGGGACTCCATCTCAAAAAAAAAAAAAAGAGGACACATCTTAAAAGCAATGCTGAGTGAAAATATAAGCTGAAGTGTTTAATTTACATAAGGTCTATAAACATATAAAACAACACTGTTTAGAAATAGTATAAAATTATTCATGGCCAGGCACAGTAGCTCACACCTGTAACTCCAGCACTTTCAGAAACCGAAGCAGGAGAATTGCTTGAGCCCAGGAGGCGGATGTAACTACTTCTTGAAAATTTTATTTCTTTAAAAAATAAAAAGACAATTAAGATACTACCCAGGCAGGATGGCTCATGCCTGTAATCCCAGCACTTTGGGAGGCGGCGGCCGGAGGATTGCTTGAGGCCAGGAGTGTAAGAGCAGTCTAGGGAACATAGCAAGACCCCCATTTCTACAAAAAAAAATTTTTTTTTTTTTTTCTTAAATTAGGTGAGTGTGGTGGCATGTGCCTATAGTTCTAGGTACTCAGGAAGATCACCTGAGTCCAGGAGTTTGAGGTTACAGTGAGCCATAATTGTGTCATTGCACTCTACCCTGGTGACAACGTATGACCCTATTTCTATAAAAAGATAAGATTTTGATAATATTTTAAACTTGGTTATTAGAAACACTGGTGTTACATGATTTTTCACTAAAGAATAAAATAACCCAAGTATAAAATTTCAGCATCTTAGAGTTCACTTGAAGCTGAGCAGCTATAATTCTGGCTCAAATACTACTCTTGTTCACTAGATTCAACTTTGTTATTTAAACTTCAGAGTTGTGAAGTTTTAACTTATTTGGTGAAGAAATCCAAGATCTTGATTAATTATGTGAAATAATTTAATTTGGGTTGTAAACAACTGTTGAGAAATTGCTATTTGCGCAGCAATATAATAAATGTCTGTCTAGTTAAGTATTAAATGATTTTTACTTACATCTAAATGAAACAAAACCTATATTATTTAAAGATAACTCAATTGCAGAATATAGAATATGGCCTGAATCTTTTAAGCAAAGCTGAATTATTTGTTCCTAAACTGTAATGGATGAAAATTTATTTGGTTTAATCTTGATTTGTATTAATTATTGCTTAGCTATTACACATACCATCATTTCCACACTCCCTGCTGCCACAACATCTTTGGGTTTTGCATCTTTGGTTCCAATGTAGGAGCCGATGGTGTCACATGACCAGGGAGAGTACTGGCTATAATCATTTCCTTTGTATTTCCCAGCTACCTTCAAGTCTTCATCCAAAAACTATAGATGGAGAAGGGAAAAAAAAAAAAGAAAAGGAAAAAACCAGAAAATGGGTCTATGAGTAACAAGACAGAGAAAGCAGGGAATTTCTTAGAACATCGTGCTGAAGCAACATAATGATGATTATTCAATTTTTAAGTGGCACAATAGAAGATTTTTGTGAACTATGAAAAATATAAGTGAAGAGTGATTTTTAGTTTTCAGTTGTTTTTTTTTTTTTTTTTTCACCTTAGCAGAAGGTAAAAAGAAAAAAAAGTATTTCAATCTCCTTCCAGAAATCAAGCTAGGATTTTATGGGTTTGGTTATCATTCTCTTTATCAGATGAATAAACATTTAAGCATATATGTACCAAGCCATAGTTTTGTTAGACCCTTCTCAATGTTTCTTTCAATAAAATCAAGGTAACCAAGCATATTAAAAATTTTGATTTTTATAGTACATGATGGTGTAGTAACTTTTCACTGAAATCTCTTTAATAGCACTAATTCATATCTTGAATAAACTATGCTCCTTGGGTTGATTCAGTGAGATGAAAAGGACATCTAATTTTTATCTTAAGGTAAGCTCTCCAGTTATCTAATAAACAGAATAGCTATTCTAAGGCTAATGTATTTTCACTAAAATTACAACATTCACATTTATATAATGTTTTACATTTTCAAAGTGTTTTCATGTATACTATTTTATAAGCTCGTAATCCATGATAGACAACACAGGTGATATGACCAAGGCTATACCAGTGTAAGGCAGTGCTTGGACTCTAATATTTTTCATTTTATCACAAGACATATATACATTGATACCTAAGGGCTACTGGTTCATTCAAGCGGATCTATGCCTTCTCAGAGTCATCATTTTTGGCCTTCTGCACTGACATAGGGTCTGCTGCTCACTAACATCACTCATTGTCAACAACTCTTCTGTTTCTATTAT